CTGTATTTCTAGAGGTAGATTCCACATTATGTTTAATCGTTCTGTTCACTGTCGGCCATTTTCGGTGGACTTTGGTTTTTTGGGAAGACAATTCCCTGAAGAATGGGAATGGGAAGTTACTCCTGTTGCGTCATCCCAGGCCGCGCACGGCTCTGCGATGCGTCAGATCGCAACATTCGCTGGCGAGTGCTGCCCTGAGCTGTTGAACTATCAGGGTGTGGAGCACTATTCAACCAAGTTGCGCCATAGACGCCATCATAGGACAGCCATGTGTGCATTTGTTTGGTCCCCCAGTGCCCTTTTACCGTTTCTTTTTTGGGGGAGGGTTCCCCTACTAAAATAGACTGCATAAAGAAGGGTACCCATATTCTAAGCTCTTTACTGGAGGACCTAGTGTGCATTTGTTTAGTCCCCCTTTATTGACAGAATTCAATGACCCAAGACTGTTGTTGACCACCCTTGATATGCGCACTCGTGCTCGCTATGGAAGCTTGTTTTGGCTGGTGCCAGTCACCAGCAAGTTGAGTGCCTTCATTATCAAGACCCTGATGAATTCGCTCCACACATGCATTGCAGCTCATGCTTGCGGCACCAGTTCCATGACCCACTGGTTGCGACCGAAGATTGACTGGTTTGATGTTTTAAGGGCCCTGACCAAAACAACAAACACATTCCTGCAACATAGTTTTTGGACAAATCCTTGGAAACAAAAGTAGATTGCCCTTTTCCCAAGTTTGTTGGTTGTAGTTAGCCTCCCCAGCACCGCCGATTGACGAAGGCCTGCGCTAGATCGGCACCAATCAATGTTTGGGCGATTTGTGCGAGAGCCCGAGACCCCCCCCAAACCCTGGATGATCCCACGAATATCCCAGCCCCAAATGACCCTTGGAGTCCCCAAGTGGCTATTACGGACTGCTTCATCTAGACAACAGTTTATCTAGTTTCCTAGTTGTGCTCGGTATTGGTTCTGACTACGAGAACATAGACGCACAAAACAGCGGCGGCCTTGCTTGTTTGGTATGTTGATACAGTCTCAGGAGCCGAGGGCTGGTTTTGCTTGATTATGGCTTAAGCAGTTGGGCAGTGCCGGCCTAGTCTACCCATTGCAGAATCTGTGTTTGAGGTATACTGGCCATGAGGGCATCTTGCGCCTGCCAGCAACTTTCAGGTGTGGAAGACTCAGCGTTCCCACAAGCTAGTGTTCAATACTGACCGTTTTTCCCTTTGCTTCAGGAGTCTTGTCATGATTGTGAGATTGCCTCATGTTGCCTGCGACGCTGCGTGGTCTTCAGACAGGCGAAAGCGAGCCCGGGTGCGCTCCCTCCAGAGTCCGGAGAGGTCCGAGGCAACGCGCATGCGAAGCGACGGTCTGTATCGTTTGTGCGAGAACGAGTACTCCTTTCCGGCGGTCCCTAGGTTCTCATTGACACGCTGGAGGCCTAGCCGCTAGCGCCACATCGCCACGCCTCAGCTTTGAAGAAAGTGAGCTCGAGCACTGCAGTAGCCTGCGAGTGTTTCGTGTGGGGCGATGTTCACATGTAGAGCTTCGTGGCGGGCGAGCATGTATGAGCTCGAGCTTGATGGAGAACTTGGACATTTTGCTGGACATGAATGGAGGAACAAGCCAAACTGGCGGGTATCCACTGTGCACATACTACGTATAGTATATGAGTCCCCTTCAGTTCCATTCAGCATGGCTAGATGCCTTCTAGGTTCAGACACTGCCTCCTCCCTTCCGGCCTCTTTACCTAGGAGTGAAGGCGAACATGTTTGGTTATGGCAGGTGGAGAATCATTGGATCCCAGTCGATTACTTTGCTCTGAAGCCAAGCAAGCCCAAGCAAGACGTTGTGAGCAACTCCCTAAGGGTGTACCAGCCCCTTGTTTAAACCCACGAAATATTTGTTTGACAAATCTCTGTTGGTTTTTCCAAAAGTGGACTGGCAGCTGGTAATATATATATATATATACACACACTGCTCAAAGACATTAAATTATGATAGAAACCAGGGTACCATGGGAACAAATCTTCCCCAACCCTCCGTTGGAGTGGACTGTGATTTTCTTGCAGGCCTCCGCCTTGCTGGACGGGTTCCTGCGAGCAGTAGGCGAGCCGGGGGCTTTCGAGCCGAAGTGACAGCAGTGGCAGCAGCAAAAGTAAACGCGAACATCAACATGCGAAGCTAATTTCACGCTGTAGCCAGTGGAATTCAAATTTATCATGGAGTTGATCCGACCAGACCGCGCAGCAATCCGAACAAAGGGCTCGGACGATGTTGCGAACAGGATTGAATCGGTTCAAGCAATTGGGCTTCATTTTGCGCCGCATCACACCGTTCCATAGCAGGGCAAGCCTTTCCTAAAGCAGAATGTGCCGTTTCATTTTTGAGGGGTTTGTGCAACGATACAATGTTCTCATTTGCCCAAATTCGACCTGTTGACGTTTCGTTGCTTGTTGACCCGCTTTCACTCAGGCCAGAAAGGTCAACCTTCAACTTAGTCAAGCATAATATTGTTAGATATTGTTAGCCATTCTAGGCTTTAAGAGAGGCCGCGCAGAGAGAGAGAGAGGGAGAGAGAGTGAGAGAGAGGGAGAGAGAGCTCCTTTGGGCAAGTGAGTCTTGGGTTGGGCGGGTATGTGAGCAACAGTGAATATTCACCGTCATTTACGGCAGTACAAGGGGAATGACATTGGGTACACTTACTACAGTACGTCAGTCACAACTAGGAATCGAGTTTTCTTGCCAAACTTCCATGTGCCCCACGTTGACGCTGTTTTTGGCAGGCTTGACGGAGTTGCCCGCAGAGTCGGCCACCTAGCACCGGAGGAATCCATTGAGATGGCTTATTTCAGGAAGTGCACCCCCCACAAATGACAGCGTTTAACTTTGGGGCTGCTTCTGACTATCATTCCAAAGGGGTGCCCAATTGTAGGACTGCTTGGGAGATGGTGGCATTTCCGGATCTAAGGCAAACCACGAGGGTCGGAATATTCCACCTGTGCTTGGCTTCAGTGTTTGCCTTTTGAGAGACTTGCATGGGCTTAGTGGACCCATTAGACGTGCAGAAGCCCGTTTTTTAATGATCCGTTGTTTGTGTCCTAGGGGCAAACAGGCAAATGTTGCCCACCAAGATCCAGTGTCATTCCAGTATCACTTAGTATTGAACGTGGCTCACCGTGTATTCAAGAGACCAAGTCTTTTTTGAACTTCTTTGGGATCGGGAGACGCCTTCCAGGCGCTATGTTAATCCAGTTCACTGAGGCTCCGTACGTCTTGCGAGTCGATCCTGCTGGCACCGGGCTAAGTGCTGCGAGGGCTGCCCTCTCGGCTTGCATTGGATCCACCATCGCAAACCCGCGGCAGACTGAATGAAACTGGCCCCTTGAAGGCGTGGGGCGCAGAGCGACATGAGATGAAGACCCTGTCGGTTTGCCAAACCATTCGGCCGCAGGTGCTCCTTCTAGTTCCTTTTGCTGAGCTTAGCTTTCCAGGTCCCTTTTGGAATGATGTCCGAGTCTTCTGATGTAATCATTCCAACTCGTTAAAATAGCCTGGTGCTTCAGTTGCCACTGTAGGGGGGGTTGCAAGGTATGTTTACTTGCAGGTTTTACATAGTGCTTCCCCCCTTGATTTCTCCCACCGACATGGGTTTGTGCACAGACTTTTCTAGAAAGACTACTTTCGTCTGAAGGGGCGTTGTGAACTGGCAGCACTGGGTCGGCCATGCACCACACCTTCGATGGCAGTCAGGCCCGATGCTCGGATCGCTGGGCGGAGGTGCGGCAATCCGCGGGCGGCCCCAGAAACGTTTGGCCAGGTGCTACTTGGTGTTCCTATGGCGTGACCATGTGTGGCCTCTAGCATGTTCGACTGCCTGGAAAATGATGGTGTCCCTTCTACTCACTCCTGGAGTTGCTCGAATTGAAAAAAATAATGGGAAGACCATGTTGGCCAGGCCACAAAACCCAACATGTTAAAATAAATATATAAAAATGCTCATGAACGGAACCAGCATGGGACGGATGATTCTCTCATGTTTGCAGACCCGCTCTTTGGCGCCCAGCTAGGGGCTTTGCTAAACTTGCACAGGTGTCCTTTCTTGCTCCATGCTGACAGGAAACCGCGACTGCAGTGGGGTTTCCAAAACACCAACCACAGGCAAGCTGAAAAGGGACGTGACATTTGTGTGAGTGTTGGCCAGTTTATTTGCTTGATATTAATCTGTCTGTGTTGCTTAAGCTGGGCATGACTCGTCATGACTGTTCCTGTTTGTCTTAAGCACATGCAACTGTACGTATGTGTCCTAAACTCGGGAACCTCTCAAAATGGTTGGCGTCTTCTGGTTTCCCAATCCCTCCTTTTTGTTGGGAGCCACGATCTTTGGACACCCCCATATGTTTCAGTGACATGGGCCAGGGGAAACCCCTGCATTTCCCCGTACCACCGTTTCGTTGGGGACGGGTGAAATTCCTCTGCAAGGCTTGAGCCGTGTGATGGTAAGATCATGACGCGACATTGGCGCCGAGTCAATGCTGCCGCTCCGTGAGGCCTGCGAAGCCTTGCTGGCCTCGAAGCACCACACCCGGCAGACCTTGGAGGCGGCGACTGGACGTCGCACGGTTTGCCTTGTAACCTTTTGACTTCTGCCTGGGTTTCCTGAAGTTTCCCTGGCAACAGCTGAACATCGCCATGTTTGGAGGTTCAAGAAAAAAGATGAAGAGATTCGGTGAGTCCTATTGCATGGTGGCAGAATGCTGTTTGCATGTCATGTCGTGAATTTGAGTTCAGTGAATAATAGTAACAGTACAGTATGTCTCTTTCATACCCGGGTTTTGGGGAGGCACGTGTTTGATTTTGCAGGTGGAACGGTGACTCCCCCAACCCAAGTCACCCTACATTTGAGGCGGCTGGTGGTGAACATGTCCAACGCTAATGAGTGGCTCCCAAAAAACGGGGCCAAAAAAAATATGGAGGGTAACACGCATGTATTGGTCGGCAAACAGCGCCGTCGAAAAAGGTTAGCAACTCTCACCTTTCCGGGCATTGAAGGCAACACACATCTCAAAAACAGGCCTGCTGTGCCGAAAGCCTACATTCTGCTCACGATGCAGGGTCCAGGTATGTCCTTTGCCCGGGCAGTCGCCGGAAGAATACGTTTGGACAGGGAAAAGACGTTATTTGCGATGGTATTTCAGGCAACAGGCTTATCAGAATCAACAGGACAATCGGAGAGGCAACTCTGTGGTTTATGTGCCTCCAGCTATAAAGTCGCATTCAATGGTCGTGTAAGCGCCGCAACCATTTTGAACTAGCCCCTTTTTAACTTTTGGGTCCTCCCAAAGATATGTTGTTTTGCTGACCTGCAAACACACCCAAACTACTATTCATGCATAAGAGAGTTCATGAAACATAAGCTTTGGGGTGTTTGCGCAATTACCGAACATGAGTTGCAGTATGATTTGCATAGCGTAGGCGTAGATACCACATGATACAAGTAAGTCGCATTCTACCCTTGTCCCCATGACAGACGATAGTGGAGTCCGAGGCTGCCACAAGTGTCGGTTCAGGCGAGGGTTACCCATTTTTCTTGTGGCGACGAAGGCTGTCAGATATTTGTATGGGATGATTCACAAAAGACTAAAGAGCTGCCTGGATCCTGTTGGGATGGTTTCATGGCTGTCGTCCCTTATGTTTCGACATGGCCACAAGGGGCCCGAGTCGTTTCACACAACGTGCGCAGGCACTACGCACCAGAGCCTTGAGCTCAGAACCGGGGGGAGGGGGACATGGATCAAGCTTCAAGTTGGCGTGCTCAGGCCAAATAGCTCACGATTCTTGATTTTCCCAAAATATGTTGAGTTGTTTGTCCGGACCCTCCATGGAACACACGGTGCACGTCTGATGGAATGTGCCTTCAAGGCCTTGTTTTTTTTGAGGTCACAGGATACAGCTGCCTCGTAGAAAATGACATATGACAGGAGATCGGTGGCTCGTATCACCATTTTGGCGAGAAAGCGGCTGATTGTGCTGTAGGACCCGTTGTCCCAGTCCCTTCAATTGAGACGTCTTGCCGAAGCCAAGGGCCTGACCGACTGCAGCGCCCCGGTGCGCGCCGCCTGCGTGTCCGCGGTATGCCGGGAAGCCAAGGGCAGCTTTTGTCCGTGTCTTGAAATGGGTTCAGGTTCGCGAAATCTTCTCTGTGGTTGTTTGACCCATTGCTTCCAGCTGCCACTAGCCTGGTATGACTACCTCTAGGTTTGCCTTAATGGTTTCCTTTAGTTACATACAAGTGCGTCTGGAAGCACTGGGTGAGATTTTTATGTGTTTGGCCAACTTAGCGTGAATTCACCTAGGTGGGCTCTTTTTTTTTTTACGTCGTGGGAAGCAGAGGGAACCTTCTCTGCACAAATCATAGCGACACACATCATAGCGACATGCGTTTCACGGGGAGTCCTCATTTTGATGTCGGCGAATGTTCATAAAGCGTGGCTCTTGGGTTTCTGGCACATCCTTCCATGTATTTCTCTGTTAACAGAAAGGGGGTCCCCTTTGGAGGGTAGGTCGTTCATCAGTGGAAACGAAGCTGAGGGGCTGAAGCCAGCGAATCATTGGACAGCAGTATGCTTTGCATGTCCTGAATACAGACTGGATCCATACGTGGGAACTATGGAACTATGGACTATACAATGTTTAACAGGCATTTGGTTGCCTTGGATCCCCTTGTTGGGTTCTGTGTTCATGTGGGGATTATCCCAACATATCTACGGTAGGCCCGGCTCCGGCCCACTTGAGGCTGGCCACGTTGGCAGTTGCCGCTTGTTGGGGGAGGACGCGAGGTGAACCTGGCCAAAACACATGGCAACTTTTTTGTGAGGGAACGCCGCATATCATTCGTGACGAAATGGTGGCTGAGTTGGGGGGGTAGCTGATTTTAAACCGACGCTGCGGGTGTTGAATGTGGAGGCCGCCCAGTCACGAAGCATATTTTTTCGAGGTTCATCCCATGCTTCATTCATTGCCCGCTTTTACTTTGGCCATTTTGCAGGTGTTGCATTTGGTGTTGGGCGATGCACCTGTCTTTTCCTGTGACCGGAGCCCCAAGAGTCCCCAGCTACCAGTTACCAGCTAGAAGTTCTAGAAGTCATTTGGCAGGGTCCTGGGCCAAACACCCAACTACTCCGCACCATAGGGGAGTGCGGACTTCATGCAAAGGTTCCCATGAGAACCCATGCTGATCAAGATTTAAAGGATTTGACCACGGTACAGACAAGCAGTATGGGTTCCATGCTCGCATGGCCGCTGAATCCTCTTGAGATACGCTGCCCAGGTTCCTCTGTGGACATCGACTCACATGTCATCTTAAATGCAAGCCGGAGCCCTGTTCACCCGTGCTGCCTGAAGCGCATAGAGATTGGGGCATGAGTGATGCTAGCAAGTCATGTTGAACTCAACTACCCGACTGAGTCATACTGCGTCAGCGAACAAGCACAGTCTTTACTATCATGTGAATGTGCGAGTATGTTATTTGATATGCGCAACAGGTTGTAGGATGCAGCAGCATGATCTCGGTGTTGATATACGTATCTCGAGCACACTGGTGTTTGCTGTTCAAATGCCAGATGTGTTGCCTTTGTCACTCGGTGATGGCTGCTTTGCTTTGTGCCACAACCATTATCCCATCGACTAACATGGAACCGAACTGGAGTGGCCGGGTAGCGGCGACATACAATATCGTTCTATGCCTATCATCGCTTGACCAATTTGTGTCATGGGTGCAAGTCTAAGTCAGTTTTGGAGCCGCGCGTTCCATCCGACTTCTCTTGGTGCATGTACGACGTTGACCAGCCGACTTAGCAGACCCTGCTGTGATCAAAGCCATAGTTCACAAGCTTTCAGCCAACAATCGCAAGATACCCTAGAAAATTCAAGTACACCATGATTTGTATGTGTGTGTGTGTGTGTGGGGGAAAAACAGTTTTCCGCCGAGCAAGTCGAGCTAGAGCGATGTTTGGGAAATGGGATGTGATTCAATCGAGGGACGCCGTCTCAGGGATCCCTGCGGCCATCGGGCAAGCCAGCCTTATCCCATAGTGGCGGTTGCGCCCCAGTGGGATGCCCTGCCGTTTGGACAATGCAACTAAATGTTTTCGGAATATGTGTTAGGATCCCTGCAGGGGAATACCAGGGACACATGACAACGGTTTGGTTTTGGTCGATAGCTATGATTTAAGCCCATTGGCATTAGGGGAACAAGGAATTGATCGCATTGGGTTTTGGTTTGAGTAACAACTGAACACAAATTCACAAAGGCAAACCGCAGTGCCAACGGTCCTCCATGGTTGACTTGCAATGTTTATGCACTGCATCCACCGAGATAGTCCGTTTTGGACCTCATTAGAAACACGTATGGCCGCCCAAGCACTTGCAGATTCCTTTTGGGTTGAACTGGTCTTTTTGGCTTTGCCACTCAGGCTTGGACGTGGCACCGCGGGTTCGCCGCGCCCTTCTGTCTGCCTGCCCTTTGCAAGGCACGCATCCCATCCAAAGGGGCCACAACCAAACTCCGGATGAATCCCTGGGATACATAGATGTCCTTTTCGCTTGTTTTGGTAGAAAAATAGATGGCCCTGGTTCACCTGGTGGTTTAATCATCTACCAGGGCCATCTATTTCCCCTAAAGGACACCCATGCTGGGATAGAAATCCTACACCAGAGTGAAACATGAAACCCTATTGGGAGAGACCGCCAGGTGCAGGACTCTGTCCATCCATCGGCACCTTGGAAACGAACGCCAAATGAGAGTGCTTGACCCACGCTCAATGTTTTCAAAACAGGCAGGGCACAATGAATCACGTCCAGCTTCTAAGCGAGCATGTTTCACCAGACAAAACACGTCTAAGTGAACATAGTTTTGTATTGTTTAATGGTTTCCTCGATTTGCTTAAGAATATGGCTAAGGAATTCATCACTGCTGGAATTATTTTCATTTCTTCCTGGGGCCTTATCCAAATGGAAGTTTTGCTCCGCTTGAACAAACTGAACCGCGCCATCCGGCAGGTCGCTCGGAGTTGGTTTTGGAGAAGACCTGGCGCTTGGCTGTGCTGCGTGCACTGGGCGCGCGGAGCCCCAGAGAGAGGGAGACAGAGGTCGTGGAGGCATTCTGCTTGCGGCTCCCAGCCATAGGCGATAGAGATGTTGAAAGCTCATCTTTGCTTTGTGACGTAGTATCCCGACTAAGAGTTGAACTTTGAAGGAACCAAGGAACCACCAATTAGAAATAGATTGCCTTTTAGCTTGTTGAGTGGCTTGAACGTCAGCTGCCCTCTTAAACCAACCCCATTGACCTTTGTTCAAAAATCACCTTTTGGGCCAAAGTCCATAGAACGCGCGGACAAGGCGGGAGAACAATTGGTGCAGGCGTTGCTGCCTGTTGACCCCCCCTTTCAATTCAACATGTGGAAGCCTTTGGTAGGGGTTCCTTCATTTTCCCAACATGGGCCCATCACTTTTCCGTGGTAGAGGCTCCAAAAGAAGTCACCACTAATGTCTGGGGAGAAAAGAGTTGTCACATGGGCATGGTGCCTTGTTTAAATCAGTTTTCCATTGACACGAACCGGACTCATGAATCCAATCATTTGGGAAGTGCCTCTGGTTTTCACCCACACCGCTGCATTTTACTGACTCTCTAACACCTGCAGTTGCTCTGGAAATCCTAGATCCTTCATTTTGCGTCGTAAAATCCGAGACTTCGAGTTCTGAGCATCTTGTGAAAATGCATCAGGTCCTGTTGCCACCTCGGGCTCATTTTCAGCACTTCATGCGGCTCTCTTCCTCTCTCTCACACCCACCGCGATCGCGGGCTCTTGAGAACCTCCGATCTCTTCGCGCTGAAGCATTACTGTATGTCGAAATACGCAATCAGGCGCATACGATATTGACAAGTCTAACATCGTTTAACTATGTACAAACAGATGGTGGTAGGTATCCGAAGCGTTGTCCGTGTCTTCCCGGAAGTCGGCACGAGTTTCGGCTTTTGGCTTCGGTCTGAGGACCGCAGCCGCTCTGTGCGCCTAGCCGCAGCGCCGGGGGGCCCTTGCCAAAGGGTTTTTTAAACAGAGGAGGCGATTGACATTGTGTGATAATTTGAAGGGTCGCACATTTGAAATAAGATGTATCCAGAATCTGAACCTGGCGGTTTGTTATGTTGATACCCTTACCCACTCGCATGGGACTGGAGGTGCCTGGAGGAACATTGAAGCGGCTGAACCTACTTGCTATAGCTCATATTACACAACCACCTTCAACCACCTTGCTCTTGTGGAGGTGTGGGGGGGGAGGGGGGGTGGAGAACCTTGTTCATCGTGCACCCAAAAGGTTGCCTTGAAGAACTACAAGTTTTCTGTGTCAATCTACGAATTCCTGGTCTATTTGTTGGCACCTCACTTGATCACAGCGGACCGATCTTTGGAAACCCGCTTGGTTTCCACCCATGCAGCTTAGTTTTGTTTGCTTAACTGTTTACTCAGTTGCCATGTTTCAACCGACGGGTTGTTATTGCCCCGAAAACAACAGGTTAGAGTGAGGCGAAATGTGTCTGTTTGTTTTCTTCTTTTTTGCAAGATCGTTTTCAGGCTGGAGCAAGGGCGAGACAAAAGAATACACTTTTGTGGGGTATTCATATACCAGTTGTTGTTTCGTGTGTTTGATTTTGGATACGGAGTTTCTCTTTGGCTGTGTGTCCGACCGGAACAAATCATTAAATGTCGAAACACGGGGGAGCCAGGTGGATGTGCCGGAGGTTTATGAGGTTTATTGGTTTGCACAGATAACGAGCGCACTTGGACTTTGTTGCGAGTGAGACTTCCAATGATAACGATACCTAATGTGGAGATTGTTATGTTGGGATTTGGGAATTACAGTTGTTCCCCAGATATCTGGTTTTCGCTTTGATTTCCTTTTGTTCCTTTAGACTTTCCAATGTTGGTCCGCCCACATCCACACCGGTAATTTTCAGTTCATGTTTATGAACCTGTGCAGATATACATGCTGTGATCCTTTTTTTTCAGAGGACGTTGGCTGGGGGCAATCCAGATCCCTCTTTTGGAAACTGTGTAAGGGAATATGGAAAGCACGCCGTTGCGTTTGGCACTCCGCGATTCGATGCACTTGGAAAGCCTCCCATCTCCTTCCAGAGGTTCCGGAGCTCTCCAAGTTGGTTCCATAGGGACTGGGAATGAACCTGGGGATTTCCTTAAAAGGAAACCACCAGCTGGGTGGTTTATCTCGGGGTCATTCCATTTCTCATTCTTATCGCACCAGCAAAAAGCCAGCCCCTTGAGCGGTTGGATTTCCCATTTTCCGGTTCGGGAGGTCCCAAAAGGTTGCCCAGTCATGCAAGCGGACACGAGGGCTTTTTGAAAGACCGCAGTCCGTTTTGGGGATGCACCCTGTCCATGTCCATGAAACCCGGGCAACCACCTGCTGGGTGAAACTAGCTAGCATAGTTCACCTTAAGTTTATGCATCCCCTTTTCTTACCTGTAACAAAGGAAAATGGTGCCAGCGACTTTGCTCTGGTAATTCCTGGCGCTTTGCGCAACTGGGTCAATGGGTGACACCTCGGCACGCCAACGTGCTGAATTCTAGGCGATGCCTCGCAGCGGATCTGCTGTCCAGGAGCGCGTAGTTGTTTGTGTTGCGTTGTTTGTTTGGTTGCTCGGCTGGTTGCTAGTCTGTCGGTATGGTGAATCCCTAAGGAGTCTGTGAAGTTGACGTCTCCTCGTTTGGCAGTTCGCTGTAGGCAGAACATGAGTTTCTGATTAAGGAAGGCACGAGGAAAGAGGTAGTTTGCGACGTCTATAGCACGGAGCGCTTACTTAACACACGTGGAATTATTTGCACAACCCCAAATCCTATTCTGTTGGTGCAAGCATCCAAAACAGCTTGGTGGTCGAGCAGGGCGGTAGCTTCGATTGCGGAAATATATGCAAAAAATCATTCTGGAGACGGAGCCTGCTTCACGGACAGGGGCAATCAGGGGTCGCTGTCAATCAGCTCGTTAGTCAGTTTGACGCATCAGTTTGTTGGTTCAATGCCATGCATTGAGTACAGGCTTGTTCATGGTAGTGTAGCTGGAAACCAGTGAGTCTAGTGAATGGTATTGCTTCCAGCGTTGTTTCATTAGGGGGCTAGGTTCTGGGTACTCGATTGACTGCAAGACGAGTTGAATCTTTGCTGCTGTTATGCTTTGATTTCTTTGTTTGCTTCCCCGGCGAACAGCGAGAGTGGTCCCCTCGAATTGCAACCCCTAACGCCCGCCAGTGCCAGGGCTGTGGTGCTGAACGATTTGGACGTGGCGGCAGGAGAACTCGTCGGAGTCTGTCGCGCTGGGAACGGTCATTTTCCCCAACTGCAACACCCCTTTTTGGACGTTTTTTTTACGTGGCAGTGTGTCAAGTTGTGAGCGTGTTTCGAACTGTATCTTCTGTTAGTAGCCGGGTGTGGGTGTGCAACCCTGGGGGGGCGGGGGCCCAATGATGCGGCTTTGCAAGGGCCCGGTGTTGGCTGGCTGGCTGGCTGGCTGGCTGGCTGGCTGGCTGATTGGTTGGTTGGTTGGCTGGTTGTGTGGTTGATTGATTGGTTGATTGGTTTTGGTTTGGTTTGGTTTGGTTTGGTTTAGTTGCTTGGTTGGCCCACTTGTTGTTTTGTAGAGGTGCTCTGGTTTTACAGTACATGTTTCGCCAGCACATAACTTACAACACGTGCGCAAAAGGCAGGGTCCACACCCGCCGCATCCAAACTACATAACTCATGAACAGTCTTTGTTGGTTGAGCTTCTCAGCCTGACCGGCCCAATCCAAAGACCGAACGTTTCAACACCGTTGTGCGTTGCAAAAGTATCTCTCGACAGCTGACACCAAAAGCACAGGGTTGAATCATTTAACTAGAACCCATGATATTTAAGGCAATGCCTTTGCCTAGCAGATTGTGAGCCACCCAATTGTTTTAGGTGTAGTTAGGTCATCCTTCACAGGTCGTAGGGAAGATTTGTGTTTGTCACGCGAGCAACCATTGGAATCCTGTAGCTCACTTAACAAGTGCCCCTTTTGCTCAAATGGCCACGTGTTATTGTGTGTTGTGAATCAGGTAGCCCAAAATTGTTTTTAATTGATGGTTTGGGGATTTGAACCCCTGGTTCTTGTAGCGGCAAACGGGACACCACCCCGCAACCTCCAAACCACGAATCCACGCCAAAGAAGTCGAGGCGTGGGTGCCGGGAATGTGGGCTTCGAAGGTGACAAGGAGAAGGGCTCAAGCAAAGAAGCACAAAGCTCGACCTTGGAATGTGGACCCAACACCCCGTGATTCGCAGCGATGTAAGATACCTCTGCACAAATGAAATGTATCCGCTATGGTTGCCTAGTCTCGTATGTCCTACGATCAACTCACAGGCACCCTTTCCACCATTACGAACAAGACTCGAAATAGCCAGGTGTGTATGAATGCCTTTCCGCAGGCCCCCCCGGGGTTTTGACTCAGGATCTGTGCCCCGCATGGTGGCTGGTCTGGTGACCTTGGTCCGTGGCTCCGAGGAGCTCGAGGAGTACCCCCCATGAGCTCTTTGTGGTTTCGAGAAGAGCACAGGGCGCCAGGGTTCTGGGCAAGTTGCAACGAGCTTTTGGGCGGTAACACGAGCTCTCCCATGACAAAGACATGCCTTACGAGGGGATTCCTTACAGTTCTGGTCTGTGAATTATACTATATTATCATAATTTGCCCAGACGGTGGGAGAATTCCCCACCCAAACACCAAACTAGCTAAGATGATATCCCCAACGGCAGGCGTCGCCAGAACTGGGAACTGCCCCCATGCATCCCCGGAACCCTGCTCGGAACCAGCCCCCGCACCCAGGGAACCCTGCGCAGAAACCTACCATGGAGCCTATGGGGTTTGGGTCAATTTCAACAGGTGTTGTGTTTTGATGGCGAGTTGCGAAGGATCCCGCTTGGCACTGAGTCGCATAAGTGCCTATGGATGCTTATCAAAGGTAACGCGCATGGCCGTTGTCAGGATCCATGTTTATCATCGTCCATGTCTCATCGCATCAAAATGAGCACTATTGAAAATTATGCGCAGAAATAGATACTAAGATGGTAGTTGGGTTCAACATTTTAATTGGTCAAGACTTGATGTTGATTTTCGCAGCTTCCCCTTGGGTAGTGATTAGGGTGGAGACCATTTCAATTTCGGATAGGACCTTCCAATTGCGAAGCTTCTTCGATGTCTGGATCCGGTCGGGCAGCCCAGATGTAAGGGGAGCGCTGACAAGAGGCACGCCGATGACAAGACCGAGAAGACAGTATTCATCACATGATGATAAGGACACTGCCGCCATGGGCGTAGCGGCTGGCGCAAATTCAACCGGGTTAATTCATGCAGTCCTTGCTAAGCGCGCAAACAGCTGAACCGCAAAATTGTTCAGGAGGAATCAAGCGTAATCATGCACAAAGTTGAGGTGACAGCCCTTTGCCACGTTTTGGGCTGGAGTTCTTTGGTTGGCACGCTAGGGTAAAGCGGCGCCAAAGGAAGCCTGGAGATTGAGAGAGGTCGGCCGTTTTTTTTTTCTTTTCTTTTTTTTTCCGATTGCAGGTTGCAACTCTCGGTTTTCAGCTTGCCCATGGGGCCACTGGGCATCAGCCAGATGGCCTGATTCTTTTTTTGCATTCTGCGACCTTTGAATGGGAAGCCAGCCGGAAGCGAGGATGAGAAACCTGGCAGATGAATACGGGGTGTCCCACACAATAGGGAATCCTTGGGTTTTGTGGAAGCACTCCGCCTATTGATTTCTTAGGCAAGTTTTCTTGAAGCAAAGTTTATGTGTTGCTGTCCTGTATGGACGCATAGGCAAAGCACTTTGAAGTTGAATTAGTAGTGATTATTGGGGCCAACGGAGGGTTCCGGATTACGGTCGATCGGTCCACAACAATACCCCTGAAGTGAGACAAGTAAGTGTGCTGGTCAGCTTCAGTGGACGTGTATTTGATTTTTGGAGCGTTCGAGAGTCTCAAATCTTTTGAGGGTCTAATTTCTTGCTTCATAAAGTTTCTTAACACGCTGACGGACCGTAGAGGAAGTTGCTGATTTTGCTTCGCGGTTCATGGTGGTTTTTCAGGCCACTGCACCTATGTAGACAGCCCAAACCCCATCTTGGCGAAACTAGACTGTGGCTTCTGCTGCCTGGCGTTATGGGAGTTAACCCTATACAAAGCCTTACGCCCACCAAATTGGTACCGAGAGGCAAAAGTTTTGGGCACAGCTTTTCTGCTGGGCTGACGTCTGTCGAATGAGGTGAAAAGCCTTGAGGCCTTGGAGGAAGCAACTCCAGTCGGGGTGCCCGATGGGCCCCTGGGAGCGCAAGTCAGTTTGGGTCAGGAAAGGTGTCATGTGTGACGTGAGGAGTCCGCTTGGGGTCATTCATGGTGATCAACCCCTTCATGGGGAGCTTAAGCTGTGAGGATTTTAAATTGTTGGGGCGTGATGCGGAGGACGCTTTGACTGCATATAGAACAAGCTCACTGGAGGGCAAGAATGAGATTCCGGTCACAAGTGAAGTCCCTCACAACTTGGGGGTGTCCTGATTTGATCGCACATGGGCCCGAAAATGATGGTGAACTGGCAACCTGGCGAGTAGACTCCTTTGATCGCGTTCCTTTTTCTGTGGGGACCTGTTTCTTTCGGCAAGCAATGTGCGGCCTTTTTGGTGTTTGTGGTGCCTGGCCATTTTCGGCCGCAGGTTTCGGTCCCGGGTGGACTCTTATAGTCTAGCTTGCAACCTTGTTTCAGGCCAGTGTGTTTTGAGGGCTGAGTCGGTGTCCATGGCGCAGGGGACGTGGCGGCGTGGCTTTGAACATGTTTCAGCTAAGGCAGCCCGGGAAGGGAGCCTTTTCCCCAAACCCACGGAACCGTGGGTTGGCCCAAAATGGTTGCCAAGCTTGTTGTTTACCATTTTACCACTGACAGGGTCTTCCCAAAAAGTGCAAAGTTCAGGGACTCGGGGAGTGAGCACTTTCAAAAAGGAGATTCCGCGGTGATCAGCAGCATTCCCCTCCAGGTTTGATGTGTTTGGAGGCACTCTTCCCAAGCTTGATCCAAATCATTGCCCAGAAAAGTCGATGCTTTTCAAGTCAGGAAAGACATTTTCGCTACGTGCGCAAGAAGGTTCTCAGCGCCCTAAGATCTGGCCCAAACAGATAAACATCCTGCATGGAACATTGACTCACTCCCTGAGTTCCTGGACTTTAAACTTTTTGGGAAGACCATTGTAGTGGCAAACATAAAGTTTGAACTTTTTTTGGCCCATCAACTCAGGAAGTGAGTTGACCAAGTAGACAGCTTCCAAGAACCTGTTGTTTTCCTAGGGCTGAATAGTGGGCTTTCTCATGTGTTGTCCTTTATGTTTAGAGTTTAATCTTGGCCGCTGCTGCCAGTTCCCACTATGGCAGCTAGCCAGGGATCCTTAGCTCCAGGTTTTACATGATGGTTGCCTCTTTTCCTATGGCAAGCGCCTGGAAGCACCGGGGTTCTCAGAACATGTCCGGTTGGTTTCTGAAGGCCCGGGTGCTGTGGGCCCGCCTGGCGCTGTCCCTGGCGGCGGCGTTGCGGGAAGCTCCCTCCGCGGCACGCGTGGTGCGCCCCGTGTCGGATGAGACGATTCGTCCGGACGAGAAAAGGCTGGGTGAAAGTAGTACGCGAATGGCAGCTTTCTCCAATGTGGGTTCAAACATGCTCTTTGCTCATCATGGAAATTGTGCCATCTACTTTCACCCTGGACAAATATGAATGCTGGTCTGGTGATATTTTGACAACCGCAGTCTGCTTGAGCATCTTGTTTTTGCAGGCCAAGTGATGGACAACCCTCCGCACAACCCTCCGGACAGCTTATGAGGCCCCCAAATAATTACCGGACCAACCCTCGGACAGACCTCCAAACAACCCCCGGACAGCAAACAAGTAGCTGGACAGGTTGGAGCATGGCACGCCACATGTCGAAAACCAACCTCCGACCTCCGGCTCCGTCCTGAGTGCCCGTGCACGCGTCTTGGCCAATTTTTGCAGCTGCGACAGGCGGTTGTTGTAGCAGCCTCGATTCGACGAACCAACGATCCCGGGCCTAATCCCGGTTCAGTGCGCGGGCAGCCCTTCATACCCTCCGGACAGCTTTCTGTCCAGGACTTTGCCCACACCCATTTTCAGGCACGTTGTCCGACTTGTCCTGGCAGTTCAGAAAGGGTGGAGGGGTTCAAGCAGAAGGAAATTCCTCACCTTACATTTTACCCTTTTTGAGTGATTTGAATTTAACATGCTCTTTTGGAATGGGTTTTCAAATGTAGACAGAGTATGCCTGCAAAATGGGAACTGTGGCGAGACGTGATACTCAATCTTACGTTGCATCGTTTCAGGGCTCTGGAGTAAACACAATCCAATATAACCTATCCTGGCTTTCCCGACGGAGTCGTCGTAAGAAGTCGATGCGCTGTCTGATCGCAATCTCTTTGGGGGCAGGCGAAAGTCGGCCCTTGGCAGAACCAATGGGCCAAGTGAACATGTTTCTAGTTGAATCTTGTTCCAAGCTTGTGGGCGAAAGAACCAGGTTGAACATCTTCTCGGAGACTCGGAGCTTCCTCCCCAGATGGTCAGCCCGAGATGTAAACTGAGATGTTATGTTGGTTCGAATTTAACCGCCTTTGACAGGGGGTCGGCTTCTTGTTAGCCATCGGGAAATTCAATCGACCTCACAAAGAGGGGTCGGAACCGCAAGCTGGAGGTTTCTTCCATAGGTCCGTCATTTCAGGTTGGTGAACTACAAACCACCCAGATGTTTCATGGCCAACCCAACGAATTTCCCCAAGGTTTCTTGCTTTTTCCATGGACATGGGCAGGCCTGTGGCCTCTGTGCGCGACCAAAATCCATCAGCCAGGTGCCCGAAGTGCAAGAGTGCCTGGGCCTGCTGCAAGGCGAGTCAGTCGCATGCCCAATCCCAACTAAAATAGGTTCTAAAATGGGTGGTGCACCTACCCCAAAATGGGATCCCATCGGTTTTGACAACCACAGCCATATGTTTCAACCAGCGGGTTGACCTTGGACTCCCCGGCAACATATGGCTGTGGTTGTCAAAACCGATGGGATCCCATTTTGGGGTAGGTGCACCACCCATTTTAGAACCTATTTTAGTGGGGATTGGGATGTTCACTGGGGGTACGGATTTTGACCCATGGCCATATATTTTGCAACAACTGTTTCAGACAGCATGTCGGCTTGAGGCAGCGGCGAGTTGCTTCAACACTTCGCAAAGCAACTTTTAGAAACGCATTTCAAGTAGCTGAAACGGCTTACGCAGCGGATGCCTCTCTTGGCTTTGAGGCCTTCATCTGGTTTGCTTGGCCTCTCTACATGTTGGTATCGCTGATGTGCTGATGACATGTGGCAGCCGCTGGTTTTGCAAGTTGCGGTTTGCTGAAAGCAGAACAGATGCTAACCTGGAGTTCTTCTTGTCTTGTGAAAGACGGAGGCGATACTTGGAGGAATGACACATTCCCCCTATTCAACAACAACTTAATGTGTGGCTGACTCTTGTTGCGGGGCGAGGAATCTGTTGTGTTCTTTGTTCACGGCACGAAAAGCAAACCATTGCCTGTTGGCGGAGTTGTTTGTACTGGCAGACACACAGACAAGCGAGCGAGCAAGCAGGCATGTAAACAAACAATAAATCGAGCAAGCTACTAGTACCAGGCTAACAAACAAGCATGCAAGAAGACACAACCCTCAAACAAGCAGATACGCAAGGAAGCAAGCAGGCAGACAGGGAAGCAAGCAATCAACTCAGGAAATCAGGACACGATCAGTTTTCTCGGTGGTTTACCAAGAAACACCAAGCAGCCAAAAAGGGGACCATCCAAAAAACAACAGATGTGTCAAAGGCAAGTCAACTTGGGCATTTCAAAGCGTGTGTTGTGAGACACATGTTAGAAGAGATGAATATGGTTCTGTGGAAAGTCTTGGTGCCGTGGTGATCCATGGCTGGTCACACAGATATGTGTAGGTTTGCTGCCAGCTGAAGCTGCTTTTGCCCAAGAACGTCCGAGTGATTCAGCAGGCTCACAATCAAAGGGGGGGTTTTACATTCATCTAGCATGGCTATCACCGTTTGGACGATTTTTCTGTTGTTTTGGCCGCCTCCAAAAGCAGAAGAACAAAACAACATGTTCCGTTTTGCCCGGTGCGCTCAGCAAGGAACATGGGTGTCTGCCTCTACAAACCGTCAAAAAGGAATCCCTCGCATGCAACGATTAGCAATTCAAAGGTGTTGGTATTATTTAGTATTCACCATTTAGCTATTCGGAGCTAACGAAGCTTGTTCAACCAGTTCAGCGTATCAGTTCTGCACCCTGCTTCTGGGACAAGGGGCAGCTAGAATCACTTCAAGAAGATTCAAGAAGGCAAGTGTAAGCGTGTGTTCTTCTCGTGCCCATTTAATGTCAGCTCACCAGCCGCCCAATTCAGATTGAGCCTTTGTGTGCGTATGCACGTGTCAGTGTGTCTGGCAAACACCGGGCGCTCAGAAAAGAGACGCCACATGACCTAAACTTATTCTAGCTGTCATAGAGAAAGACCGCCGGGAGCTTTTCAGCATGTGGATTCTAAAGGGCAAGGCTTCAAGGGTGGCTCTTGCTGCTCTTTCGGGCCAGAACAACTTTCATCCTGGACTTCGCAAGGAATCAGCATTCTGACCCGGCAAGCAAGCAAACAAGAATGTGCACACATACACAGATGCACACATACACACATACGCACATAGATACATACATACATCATACATTCATACATTCATACATAACCCCTTTCCTCTAATGCTTAACCCCCCCCTGATACTAAGAGGGTCCCCCACCAAAAGCCGGTTGTAGATTAGGGTGTCCCCGAATTGTTCTCGGAGAGCCATACTCCCCGAGCTCCAGCTCAAGAGTCGCAACTTTGTAGTACAGCCGTAGTAAGGAAACGTACTCCGGGGTCCCCCTAATTGGGCACGGGCAAGAGAATACCAACTTCAGAATTTGTTTAGTATTGGCTATTCGAAAAGTCGTATTTCCGGATTTGGGATTTCAAAAGTCAGTTTTAGTATTAGGGGAAGCCCCTTCTTCTTTGATTGTGAAAGTACGGGAAGATGTTGGATATGTTTCTCACTGGAATTGTTGTTGGTGAAGCATGGGTTGGAATTGCACACAAAAAATGAGTTTGGAAGTGACAATGAGTCAAAGTCTGTCCAGGGCCCAATGCCGCTAATCCGCGAGGCTCTAATGCTGTTGCTTATGTGTTTTAGTGGCTGTTCGTGCTTTGTTGTTCACCTGCATGTCGGAAGCAAGAACCAAGCAACGAAGCAACCAAGCAAGCGGGCTGGCAAGTAAGCCAGCAAGCAAACCACCAGCATTTCAGTGCAACCCTCGAGGGAGCACCTGCTCCTGGGAATCAACCTGAAAGTGGGGCGGGTGCCATGCACCACTCAACTCGACACCGGCCCTTGCTCAGATGCGCAATCGCTGGAGGCGAGCGAATGGGGAGAGGGGCGTCTCGTTGCTTTTGCACGTACAAGTTGGTTTGGGGTTGCTTGGGCCAATTTTATGGCGCAAACTGCTCATCCGCCAAGCCATGAGTTCCATCTGTCCAAGAAGCTTGCCAAGTGAATCCGTGACGGGGATATGCGGTGACTACCCACAGGGACTCGGGCCTATAGCCGTTTCACCAGCAGCCATTATGACACCGTTCTTTTCGAGTATCTTAGAACTGCCACTGTGGCTGTCTACGGACAGGTGCGACCATTTTCAGAGCAGACGACCTGAGAGCTATGATGTGCGACACTCCAGACGTTTAACACGTAGCCACGCCACATATTGAAAGTCATGAAATCAGCAGCCAACCATTGGGCCATATTGTTGGTTTGATTCTTGCTTCCTGGCAACATCCCGGAAAGCAAACAAAAACAAACTGTTGGGAGCAATAGTACTTTAGGCTACAGTTCAAGAGCTGCAAGCGGGGTCCACCCCCCCATCTAACATGGGATTGCCTCCATTTCCCTCTAACTAACAGCCCCAATAACGGGGCCCTCGCCCCCATGTTCCCAATAGTTAGGGATGGGAAACCTCACAAGTCTGGACTCAGCACGTTGACCATCGATGTGACTCTACGGCACAAAGTGCTGATGGACACATCACACGCCACTTGCAGGGAAAGTTCAGGCAACCCCAGGTCCCAGATTTTCCTGGCGTCCTTGGAGGTAAGCGGGGCGAGGAGAGGTACCTCGGGAAAATCAACATTGACCGAAATGAGGGTGACACAATGTGTTGAGGGCAGGGCGTGTCAAGGGCTGCAAGCACGGTCTTGTCAAATTGCGACCTATTGTCATGTTTGGTGTCATGTTTGCTTTCGGCATGGGTGTTCGGCCACATATTGTTTCATATGTGGTTGCGTCTCTTTACCATTGTTTTCGAGCTCAAGGGCCAAAGATGCGCGTATGATAGGCTACAAATACTGGACCAATCGGGGAGGCGTGATGTCGAGTCTTGCTCCTAGGTTCTAGCTCGGTGCAGGCATTTTGGTTCCCTTCTTAGCCTTTGCCCGCTGGAAGTTTGCGGAGAAGTATACTTGGCCCTTGGAAGATAATTTGGTTAATGAGTGGCAATCCGATAGTTTGAGAAGGAATCGGATTGACACTGAGTGTAATGTGTCACCGACCGGGATTGTGTAGAAGAGTCATTGACAATACTGCAAGAATGTCTTTCAGGGCAAGTCCAGCAAGGTGGATGCAAGACGCGAGCTTTAAGACCACTCTTCTTGGTGGCTCCCAGCCATCTCCTCAGCCTTTTAGCTTTTTAGTGTTTAGTGGTAGTTTCCATGTAACCCACCAAAAGTTAGTCACTTTTAGCGGGGGATCTGAAAACGGGCAGCCCAGTCTCGTCAGGGTTGGGAAAGCCTGGGTTTTGTTGGGCAACCGACTGGACTTCAATTTTTGTTTCAGCGCCAGGACCAGCACTTCAAGCTGTGCCAGTGGCTCCATTGCGCGCTGGTGGTGCCTGCCTGCTTCAGCCGCAGATTCGATTGATTCTGGGCTTGCGGCGAAAAGCACAAGACCGAACCAGGCTGGAAATCTGTTTGCTTTACCTCGGTGTCCATTCATTTACGTGAATCATATGGTTGAGCAACTTCGAAGGCCACTGGACCCGAATCACATCGACCGCACTGGGACCGGGAGGTGCCCAGGATTGGTCCAAAAAGTGCAACTTGAATCCGAAACGACAAGTTTCGGGCTTTAAAGGCAGGCACTGTCAGGTTTTCTTGACTTACTACCTCGGGGTGACTTCTCCCAGTTGCTTTTGCTTTGCCGGAACCAAACTGAGGGTTGTAAGTTAAACCTCCATTTTGGTTCCCAGAAACAATAGCAACATAGTTGTTTAAGTGAAGAAACACGCTGGGACATGCGTTGCCAGTCGGAGACGCGACAGGTTTGTGATATGCCGGCGGACACTGCTGGACGCAGCGGCCTCAGCTAGGCTGCAGAAGCTGCCTGGCCTGTTTCTTTGTGGCCTGTCTATTTTGTTAACACTGCTACTACTTTTCCGTCGAGCTGGCAACAAGGCTTCGGACTTTCTGTGGATATTTCTTGGGTTTTCGAGTGGCCGTCCAGAGGTTTAGCACTCGGAGGGTCAAACTGGTCTGTTTTTTTAGGGCACCCCAAACATCGCTTTTTGCCTCTTGGTTTCCCTTTAAAGCCACCAAGTCCAAAAAAACGACACCCAAAAAAGCAATGGCGGACACCGTTCCAAACAGGGGCAGCCTCAACAGTTGAAGACACCCACAAGGATCACAGCGCTTGAGCCTTTTGTCTCGCTTTCCCCAGGTCAACGCTTGGCTCAGGCGGCCGCGGCCGCCATCCAGGCGTGCCGGTGCAGTGAGCTTTTGGTAGGTTGGGAGGGTAGTGTTTCCTTCGTACTTTTTTTTGGGGGGAGGGAGACGGGCGGGCAGCGGGTAGGGTAGTTGTTTTGTTGCTTTTTTTTTGGGGGGGGAGGGGCGGGGAGCGGTCGCAATTAGTTGCTTGCCTGAGTTTCAGATTGCGTTTTGCCACCAGGAAAAGGGTGATTTGGAAAGTAGCCTGATCTTCACCCACCAGGGGTGGTTCACCACAAAGGCCTCTCCGCAAGATGCGCCATAGCCTATGGAGCTCGCCCAGCGAACTGAGGCGAGGGCCATCGGAACTTCCGCCCGAGACGGTAAAGAGCGGAACCTCAATCTGAATTCCATGTCCAATGCAGATTCAGATGTTTGTTATGGCTTTGGGCACCTGGACTACGACCTGGGTATCAATTTCAAGTTCAGTATGGCTCATGCTTCTTCGGTCTGTCTTGGGATGACGTTTGTGTTGTTTTCTTCGCTGAAACCTGAGTTTGTGCCGACATCAAGCAATTCAATGGCTGGGGACCGCGGGACAACTCATGTTGACAGCTGTGATCAGTCAAAACGGTAAAGAGCAGATCTTGCAATGTGTCAGCGCCAGGCTTGCTGATGCTTGGCTTGTTTGGCTCCCCATGATGCCTGCCCCCAAAAGGGTCCAACAACACGAAGCCCGACATTGGCTGCGCTTCAGGTGTTGCCCGTGGAGATGGTTGCGAACGAGATGGTGCAATTCGGCATTTATCCGTTGGCCTGGCGAGTTTCTTTTCGTGCGGTGTCCGTGGCCAGACAGGGGGTCAACAAAGTGGCAAGGCACACTGAAGCGGGCCAAAAGCGGATCTATTTGGACGTATTGCGTAACAAGGGAGCCGCATAATTTGGGTTTGGATTCCTTTTAAGACTAGCCGGAAAGAAAAGTTCGAATAGCATGTGGCCTGGGTCTTTACCGATGAAGACAACACCTTTCTCTCGGCGGTACTCTGGTCTAATCGGGTGCCAGCAGAGATGCGTTGATGAGCCTTCTTGCATGCCACAATATGGCAAAAGCTGCCGGTCGGTCCTGAAACATGCCCAGCATTCATAGTCGTTCAAAGGTTGTGATCCAGATTGTTGTGACTTTTCTTTTGCTGGGATGACGTGCATGTTTAATATATACATATACATTTATATATATACATATATATATATATATATTGGTTAAATATAACAACATACGCATATACACATTTGTTTATTTAAACTCAAGCATTTTCTTTCACTGAGTAGGTGCCAAGCATGGTCGTAAGGCAGTTTCCCCCTATGTTATCCTCGGAGGCGCGAGCGCTTGGGCCATGAACGGGTCTCTTCGCCCTCGAGCAATAGCTTGGAGTTGGCCCGGGACCTCGGAAGCTCGGACACGTTCCGGCGGGGGCCCCCAAAAAGCCAAAGATTTGTGCTGATTTTCTGTGGGCATGGCTTTCAGTTTGGTTTTATGGCGGGGCCGAATACTTATTAATTAGCATTCATCCTCTGTGGGCATGACTTGGGGTTTCATGGTACGAAGCCAGTTGACTTACTTCGGCGCTTATATTATATGCCCGTTTGGGCAAGGTGCCCTATATTGCCCCTCATGGTTGCTGTGTAACAGCACCTTGTGCTTGCCAATTGAAGCGGGTCTGCTTTTGGCAGGGTGATGCTCAACGGGGAACTATAGGGAACCCTGCTGGTTGCTGAGTAACCCGGACAAGCGTTGAACGTTGACCTCTCACCAATTCATGCCCAATTAGTACTTGGCACATTCCCGTTTTTTGTTTTGCGGGGTGGCTCCCTTTGCAGTGGGTAAGGTAAATTCGTTCGGACTTTTGAGAGCCCTTGCTATTAGTAGAATCCTCGAAACCTATCTGGAAACTAGCAAGTATTTGGGCGCTAAAGGGTGATTCCTTGGAAAGATGGTTCCCCTTTGTGACACAAGCGGAGTCGGGTCTGCAGTTGAGCCAAGTGGTTACCATTTGAGGAGTTGTTTGTTGCGCTTGGGTTGCTGGCGGGTTGCATTGAGTAAAGATGCAGAAACTAGGTCTTCTTAGGCTTGACAGGAGCAGAGGACTGTGTGAGGCTGGGGTGAGGTGGAATACAGCGACGACCTTGCAGGCTTAAAACTACAATTGTTTCGGTGGCTCAGATGGAACCTGAGTAACTACAAGAGAACTGTGAGCACAATATTTAACAATGTTCAATTGCATCATGTTGGAATAGCTTCAGGCCGACCCCCCCAGTTGACACCCAGACAATTGGTCAAGTATTCAAGTGGGCATGTGCCAATCCCCTGTTCCCATGATTTCCACTGCAGATCTTTTCGCTCACATCGAGGGGCTAGCGTTGCTTAGACGACACGCTCAAAAGCACACTGTTTGCTTTTGTCAGCTTGCTCATTGGCCGTGGCTCAAAAAACGGAACCCTTAGTGGAAACATGGACCAAAACCTGGCGGTTTGCCCCTCCTGGTCAAAAATGGGTACCCAACATGGAAATGGAACCACGGACCAAATCCTGCGGAAAACGCCCCTCCGATCGTGCAACATTTTGAGCCACCGCTGGCTCATTGGGGCTAAAAAGACCTTTGCGCCACCTTCCAGGGGACCAAAGGGTGTCGTTTGGGCCGCCCGCCTAGGGGATCCGAAGAAAAATGCCGGCCGTCAGTCGGTGTTGTCCACTTTTTCCAACCGGCTGCGGACAAAACGAGCTTTTCGAAAACGGGGTTCTCAAGACTCCATGTACTTAGACTAACCATATGTTACCCATGTCAGGGAAGCTGCCAGAAGGGTTTCAGAAGACTCCTGGAAGGCTACAGTCCTATGTGAATGGCCACGCGTCCACCTCCATGAGTGTAAGAGAAAGTGAAAAATAATCTTCTTTTGGAGGGACGCCTGGTGGGAGGTTGTTTCCTTTGATTTACCCAAAGATGCAGCAACAGGAAATTGTTTTGTAGCTACTGGATTATCTCCAGACCCCGTATTTAGCACCCACCCCGTAGTACATGAAAGCTGTTCCTTGGCATCTGTCTTCGGCAGGCGATTCTTCTCCTCCGACGCGCCGGGTGCCCGAATTCAGCCGTCGACGGTTCGCGGCATTTCGCTTTTGGGCCTGGGAAGTACATGGCACAAGGTCCTTGTGGGTCGGATGAAACCAACACAAGGGACTTGTGGCTACTTTCACCCGGATGTACATGAGGAAAATGCGCGAAATATGGAAGCCCCTAAATGTTTGGATGTTTTGGGTTGGGAGGGAAGCTGAAGTATTGGCTCCGCTTTTTCAGGGCTCCGTTTTAAGTCTTGTGGTTTCTACTCCCAGGAGCCCTTAATACCACATATGTAATTTGTCACCGCGTGAGCTTTGTTTACGATGCTCGGCAAATCAACATGGAATCCAGCCCCTAAACTTTTGGAGGTCCTGATGGGAGATTGCACGCATGTTTGTTTGTTGCTTTCGTCTCACCAGAGCAAGAGCCTCAGCATGTACACCTGCTGAGCCTTCTGAAATGTATGCATTCAGCAGCGTTCAGCATTCATGGGAATTCGTCTGACCGGGGTCTACCGTATGCACTTCGACGTAAGCAAAGCGCTTCGGGCAAGAATGAGGTGGCGGCGGATGGTGCATCAGGGCAGTCAGCGGGCCAGGCACAGCGCAAGAAAGAATTCGAGTGACACACGGTTCATGGAAAGTTTGGTGGATCCAATGGATTATTTGTTTTTGCTCTAGGGTTTCATTTTGTCTCAGGTTTTTCACAGGTACGAGCAGCTTAGCGCGAACCCCCTGGTTCACAGCATGCACAACCATACCACGTATTCTTAAAGGGGGGAGATTTTGTATGCTGCCTTGCTTGAGGAGAACCACCCCTAGCAATCGTGTGTTGTTTATTCATCGAGTCAACATTGCTTAGGCAATTCCAGCCTTGCAACTTTTCAGGGAACCCATGGCGGACTCCGTTGAAAGTGGTCACGCGCTCCAAGCTGTTGTCTATCTTAGGTTTGAAGCAGAAATTCAAACATGGAGGGCCATAGGTCTGAGACCATTGGGAAGGAGGTACTGTATGGCTAACCCACTGGGAAGGGCAGTCCTTCCCATCCCTGCTCTCCCCCATTCGTTACTTGGTTGTTTGCCAATTGATTCCTAGTTGGTTGCTTTCTTGGTCTTGAAACACGAGGTTCACCATGCCATTGAATGGTTGATTGTTCCCTTTAGGGTAATTTGTATGTTTGCTTTCCAAACCTTTAATGGCTCGGCAGCCCAAAGCCAACGAATTGGTTTTTACTCCTTTCTATTTCGATCCATTTTTGCTTAGGCTTTCGATAGTCAAGTTGTTGTGTGCTGGTCTTTTTGGATGCAATTCCACCACAGCGAATTACGAGCTCAGCCATGGTGACAGATCGGACTATGGAGAGGTCCCTGATGAAGCTTGTGGAAGTATTCTTGTTGACTTTGGTTGGCGGCTGTTACGCCGAGAGCAGTCGCGCCGCTTTTCATGATCTACTACTCACTGTGGAAAAAGAATTAGATTGAAAACGCAAAGAAACGCTGTTTGTTTGCATGATCGATGGGCATGTCAATTACTGGTGAAGTTCCGGTAAAGACGCACGTCATGTGAGTGATGTTAACATCAGCAAGCTGAAGTTATGGAATCAAAGGCTAGCCTAGACCACTTTCAATTGAGTCACACACAAGTGGCACAGCTCCTTTGTACGTGCAAACCATGCGTGATACACATTATTAGACGGCTGAGTCTACTTTGGCCCCCATCACGTGTGCTGCTTGCGGACTTGGAGCGGCGCACCACGTGTCAGCATCATCTCCCTTTGTGTAAACTACGGGGGGGGGGGGGCTGCACAATTGGTTTTTGTTTGGTTCCCCTTCAAACCACCCATCAAGAAGGCCCCCCCGGGAAAAAAACACACACACACACACACATGCCCGCTTCCCCCATTTTCCGGGACGGTTTTGGAGGTAGAGGCGCGTTTGTTTGGAGGCGGCCACGGCGCAGCTTTGGCTCGACCCTCAAGTTTCGCGCGCGAAAAACAAGCGAATCTGCGAGTTTATTGGAATGTCATTCCCCAAGGGCCGACGCCCTGTTAGGCCCAAAAGCCCTTCTCAAAGGGTATTCAAAGGTATTTGATTTTAGAGAGTATCCTTCAACACCGAATCAACCGCTGACCAGCATCTAGGGGATGGCAAGACGCTCAGGACCATGTTCTGTTTAAGATTTGTAGCCGGACTTGGCCACCGGAATGTTACAGGTCAATTCTGAGAGTGGCGTTTGAGAGGGTCATCATTTGAGACTCTCTCAAGCTCTCAGACCTGCCACTGCCACTTCGCCCAATCAGCCCAGAATCCTCAAGCACAGCGCTAAAGAAAGAATGTCATTATTAGTGAACCTCAGTCATGACTCACTCACTTCCTGAGTTCATGAACTTTAAACTTTTTGGGAAGACCATGTTAGTTGTGAATATAAAGTTTGAACTTTTTTGGGGCCATCCACTCAGCAAGTGAGCTCAACATGGCAAGGTTGTAGGAACATGCTATACCATCATTGTTGTATGACGGAGGTGCTCAAGCAAATGAATGGCCAAGCACAGTTCAAGCCTGCCACGTGCAGAGTCACATGCAGTTCTGTTTAAACATCCTGCACAGGAAACTCATCCATTCCATTCTGTCAACCGGAATATGTTCAAGCTTGGATAGGAACCAGGATGACAACTAGATGCCCGGATCGAATCAGAAAAAACACATTCTGGAATGCCTGCCTCCGTTTGATTTAGGTGTTGTTTGCCTCATGTGAAGTATACACAGTTCGTTGACTCGACATGTTCTGGCTTGAGGTTTTCCAACCTTGCAGCTGCGATCTACGAGAACTTAAAGAAGGCCAGTGACCGTCGAGCAGCTAGAAACGCTAATATGAGAATGGAAGTTTCGGATTAAATCCCTGGTTGATTAATGGGGGTGTCCCTGGTTTGTCGTGGGGAATCATCGAAATTGGAGAGGACCCCATTATCAGGACGGGCTTACGATGTAATCCGGGGTCAACATTACAGAAAAGTATGCACTTGCTAGCGGCAAGTTGCGGGGTCTGGTGAACTTGTCGAATTTCTGGAAGCGTCATACTACCCCGGGAGCTCTGGCCTCCACAATTCCCGCCCCAGCACTATGACAGGACCATTCCCCATAGACTCTCCCTATGGTGGTACAAGGGACATACTGTGGATGGACGAAATCCTGCACCTAGCAAACCCTGAAGGATGAGTCCCCTGTAAATACCAACAAACAAGGGTTTCCCATGGATTCCAAGTGGTGCGAAATGGATTTCGCAACCATCCACAGGGACGTAGCCCCACGATTTGTTTTTTCTCCCAGGAAGGACCTTTGCGCAAGGGATCGGATGCGAGTGTGACCTGTACGTGAACCTGTGTCCATGGTATACGCTGCAGGGATCGAAGCACACCTGTAAGGCGCTTGAACTGGATTTGAGTGGAATGCTTTATCCTCACTGAGGATACGGCGTCCCAGAAATTACGGTATTTCAATCTGCACCAAGATCCTTTTGCACATTCTCATTTGCCCAAAGCGAGGAATCTTACCTTCTAGTCATGCACCCAGAAGGACAATGTGTTCAGGTCATTGGGCAAGATGAGCATTTGGATATTCTCGGAGTGGCAACTGAAGTATTGACTTGTCAAGCGATTGGAGTGATCTGTTGCTGGGGTGATATTTCAGGTTGAAAACATCCCAGGGACGGATGCCCCACATGGGTGTTTCTCAAACGAGTTGGACCAATTCCTCCAGGTGGTTCCCAAATGAGTCGAACCAACCTTGTTGGGTTGGTTTGGAAGGAATCGGGTTCCCAAATTAGTCGACCAATTCTCTGGCTTTTTGTGGGGGGTCCCCATCCAAGGGACCGAATTTTCCGTCGAGACAGGACTTGGACGCGGCCACCGCTCAGCTCTTGGATCGCCAAGAGGAAATGCAGCAGATGCAGCAGGCACCCTGTTTCTGGTTTGACGTATGGCTTGGGAACTAAGGCGCATATATATACCACAAGAGAACCGGATCCCAGTTCGCCTCAGGTGTTTTTTTTTTTTTTTTTTTTTTTTTTTTCCGGGTACTGCAAGGGAAATGCTAAAACATGCTTGCACGGGGGCAGGGGAACGAATTCTTTCAGGTGGGCCAAGTCGACTTCAATGGTTTTGGTCGATGGCCAAGTCGTGACGTACCTGGATTCGCCCGTGCGGCAATGGGCAAGTGCCACCCAGGTGCCGTGAGCCTGGCCGCCATTGGGGCCAATGAGTGGCAACTCCAAGAAGTAAACAACCAAACTGGCGAAGAAAGGATCAACCCAACCAACATAGCCTATTTTCCCTTTTTCAGGATGTTAACTGCATCATGGAGTGTGGCTTGCCGCCTTAGCTCAGCGTTAGCTCTTCGTTGAGCAGAACACAAGGGACCTGGGATCAATGCGGAAGGTGATCCTACGCTGTTTCAAGCAAGACCTGAAAGGTCCCCATGGCGAACCCAACGGGCGGTTGTTGACGCACTGGTGGTTTAAGAATGTTTACTCTGCAGACAGCCCGAAAGCGGATCCCCCAAGCATAAAAAGAAGTTCCTCGATGAAGGCTATGGGTTTCCATCTTATGCAGCGAAAACCAAACCATTCTGCGGGTGCCTTGAGTCGCTCAGCGCGGCGCTGCCGCATTGATCCAGCTTTTGGCCCCAAAAGGCAACGGCAGCTTCCGAGAAGTGCCTAATCGCTTATAGATGCTCTCTTAACAAAGGAAGCGAACAGGAGATAGGACCACTTCTACAGGGACCAAGCCCCTTTTTTTGACAAGTGTCGCAGCTGAGAACATGCATGCTTGGCTTCCTGAGACCGAACATTGGTCGGACCTTTCCATGTCTTTTCTTTGATTTGCAGAGCCGAGTTTCGCCAAGTTCGGCCCAGCCTCTCTCGCGGCGATCGTGCCATGGGTAGCTGCTGCGCCCGGATTGCAGCCCGTTGTCGTTTTCTCTGAGTGGGCATCCTCAAAAGAAAAGAAAACAGCTCAGATTGACTGGGAGTGCTGTAAAAAGTAAATATATACTTACTCATAGTCATAGTTCAACCTAGAAAGCCCGGAGTGGATAATTTTTGCTTTTTGCCGTAACTACATAATAAATTTTAGTCGTTTCCATCAAAAAACGCCTTTTCCTTCAAACAGCGCCCTTGGGACACCTGCCTAGAACAGGGTTCGGCAAAAATGCCTTTGTATCGCCCAAAAACGCTTTTGTATCGGGGAAAAACGCCTCCGCCAGTTTGTTGCATACATCCAAAAAACAATACACAGGAAAGTTGCCTCCAGGCAAAAATATGATGACCTTCCCTGAAAAAGCAGTTTCCCACGAAAAGGCAGACAAAAATCGGACTTAGGAAGATCCAGCAATGATTCAATGATATGTTCCATCTATAGTCACGCTCAGGTGCCAAGCGGCAACCCGAGCTGCCCAAGTGCCGCGCAGCAGAGCAGCGACTCTTGAAGCACTTGCCGGAGGTGAGGGAAGCTGAAGTCGATCCAACGCAAGCCAGGTGGTTCCCATGGTTGTTTGAGAAAGGGGGACTCCCTGAAAAACAAACTACAGTCATGGTGTTTTCTCTTGGTCTCTTGCAACACCTTCTCATCCCCACCCACGCCCCTTTCGTATTCCAGGAGACTTGGAGGCTTCACCCCGCGTACACAGGTACTGTAGTTATGATTGTCAAGGTAAGTCAGGTGAAGCTGCAAGGGCCAGGTAGAACGTGTACGCACACACACAGCACACGTCAGAGCGTTTGCATCTGGATGGCAACTCTTTTCAAGCCACAGCCCGGCTTCACATGCGGAGGCCCCTGGTTTTCCAACATGTCCGCGCCAAGCACGGTATTCGCAGTGTGTCATCATGGTTGGCAAAGCCAGTAGGCAAAGGCAATCCGGAGAGACTCATTCCCACCAGTTTCGTTAGGCAAGAAGAAGCATGCTGTTGTGTAAAGGTGCATTCAAACCCTACCAGCCAACAAGCAGGAATACTTTCATGAAGGTACGGGTGAAGAAAAGGTTGCGCAACAGGTGGGATCCTGTTGGACACTTTTTCGAGGGTCGTCGTTCACCCCTCAAATGCCAAGGAACGTTTCGGGGTGTCTTAGGGTTCCTTGCCCCCATGTGGGGTTGTTTTTTTGAGGTCACTTCTTTTGATGGTTTTAAAGGGGAACCAAAGGGACACCCAAAAGCCAAAAAAACGAAAAGATCGAACAACATGGTGAGTGATTCGCTCTGTTTCAACAGAATATCTTACCACCCCGCGCTGCTTGCTCTTCCCCAGGAGGTGAGGAAGAAACACTTTATAGCCTTCATTGCAGCATTCACGGGAAATTGATATCATTCCATGTATAGAGTCCAGCCACCATTGTAGGGCTTGCTGCCCGGCGAACGGCACCATACTTTACTTTCAATTCCAGGCTCCTGGTTGTCCAGGTTTGCGGGCGGTGCATCAGCGATTTTGCTTTGTCCGGCACATGCAAGTTGGCAGCATGCGTCAATTTGCGGGATTGCTCACCGGATTTGGACTTGTGCAGCATGCGAAACGCAAACTTGCGGTGGAACCCGATTTGCAAAGCACAACTGATGAGGCCAGAGGCGCTATGAGGTCTACGAAGCCAAGCAGTAAGGTCATCTCAAGTCAATCCCACCAACACTTGTCACAGAGTGTAGATGGAGTCTATAGATGGCACGGTGTTGTTCAACTGCGTGCTTCTACTGTGTTACTGTGGCGCATGGAATTCAACCATGTCTTAGGTCGTCAATATCCACGAGAGCAGCAGTGATCTAAATTTCACTAGCAGCTTGCGCAAGCATTGCTGGTGTTAGTTTGCATTGAGCGCCCCAGATTGAAGGTACGAACCAAGAGTAATTATTGGAGTTTTATGCGGCTGATGAGTTGCTGAATAGACACACACGCGCGCGTAATCCAACGCGTTGTCCTGGTCGCATACATGCGCCACAGCCACTGCCCTCACTTCGCCACTTGATGGTTTTGCGTCTCCCAGTGGCATGACCAGCGGCATAAGATCAGAGGTGCGTTCCCCCCCTCAAAAGTCTTTCGGATCCCCTCCAACCAAGTATATGACTATATATGTATATATGGGTGTTTCTCAAACTAGCGCACCCCTTGTTTGGATGGGTCTAAAGGGAAACCAAAAGGAAACCACCTACGTAGAGGGGTCCCTAATTTTCAGTCCCCCGTATTAAAATATATGTATGTTGTACATGTACACCCCTTTCTGAGCCTGTGACGCGATGCCGCGCGGCAGGTGCAGGTGCACGATACGGGCATCCGCTGCAATCCAAAAGACGGAGCGCCGGTCTACATTCACTCCCTCGAGATTTGGGAGGAGCGGGTCGCGGGGGGCGTGCCCGGGGCCCGGGGCGATTGCCGACCTACAAGTCAGCAATCAAACCCAGAAAAGACGAGGGGCCAGTCTGAATGAACAGGTGCGGATATCCGCCCTTTCAATTCTTGACACGGTGTTCGGGTAGACCATTTTAGTTCCAGATTTTAGTTTGTTTTGTCTCGACACATTGGGAGCAGCCTCCAAATGCGTGGCTTTCCATGTCCCTTCGAAACACCCCGAAACAGGTTGAAACAAGCATGTGCCCGTAGACCGACAAATCTAGCTGAAGAAATAGATGCGGCAATATCGCTGGCTGGTCTCCCATACCATGGTGACTCAACCAAGTCACCTTTTCAGCCCTCACAGCCACCTAATGAATGTATAGGAGGCTAAGCGATGAGTAAAGTACCCTTGCCAACGGCTTCTTGCTGAGATCCTTTTTGATTGGTTTCCCCATGCAACATCCCTCAAATTGGTGCTTTGCCCGTCGACAACCTCTCAAGAAACTTTCGCTTTTGCCGTTATGGAGCCACTTTTAATCCCTTAGTTGGTTTAGTGGTAGTTTCCACTAAAAGTGAGACTTTTAGCAGGGGATCTGAGAACAGACAGCCCCGTTTAGCCGTGGGTCCCTTTGGACATGTGTGACTATGGCCCGCTTTGAAAGCTTGACCATGCGTAATCATACTTGGACTCCAATGTTCATGCGCGCATAACAGAGTCCCCAATTTCTCCAAACAATCACCCTGACCCGGCTCAATGCATGCCAGTTGTGTTGCTCTCCGGGCCCCAAAAAGAATTGGGTTCCCTTTTTCGTTCAAAGCGTGGAATCACCCTCACAAGCATAGGTGCCCTTTTTGGTTGTGGTAGAAACATAGATGGTTCTGGTTTACCTGGTGGTTTAATCATCCACCAGGACCATCGATTTCTCCTAAAAGGACACCTATGCTCCCAAGGGCTCCCTTTCAGGGTCACTGGGCTTCCGGCCAGCGCTCGGCCAGAACCGCGCGGACGACCGCCCGCTGGTGTGCCTGCCCGGGTACGGCACCGGCGCCGCCATCTTCGCAAACGTGTGGCGACGTTTGCGGCAGGCGATTCGTTTTTAGCACTGCAAAGCGTGTGGGGGTGCTTTTTTTTGAGGGCCTGTCTTTTTGGTGGTTTTAAGAGAAAACCAGGAGGAACATCACACATGTGGGGAGGTCTCTACAAAACTACATCCGATACGTCCCCACATCAAGTTCGGTAAAGCTTGCGTGTAGTCTAGGGTTAATTTTGGCAGGCCGTGGACTCACTAAATTTCAACCACAGCCAGGGGACTCACTCAATTTCGCCTGTCCTCTTGCGGAAACTTGTCATTTCGACCTTGGCTCGCATGCTCGGTTCGAGGCTCGGTACCTTTTTTGGTGGGTTGAATTGAAAGCTTTTTTGGGAGGGGGTTGCCCCATGAGACAAACTTGACATGATTGCATGGGTGTGCTTTGAACGGTCAGTTTGATTGAAGATGGCACCGATGTACCCTTTGTGGGTTTGTTTCAACGGGAGAACACAGAAGTACACCCAGTGTTTTTTTTTTTGGGGGGGGGTTT